TCTTTTCAGGTCACTGACTGCAATTTTATCTTCTGTATCTGAGATTCTATCTTCGGATTCTTTTATTCTTTTGTGAACATTCTCAATGGAGTTTTTAATCTCCTGGATATCTGTTTGAATCTGTCCTATGGATTCCATTTCTTTCTTGTATTGGCCATTTATTGTTTCCAATTCTTTCTTATGCTGGGCCTTCATGGCTTCTATCATGGTCCTGAGCTCATCTATTTTCCTCTCAGTTTCTATTCTAGAGTCACGAATTATAACTTTCATTTTGCTCATCATCTCTGATTATCTGAGAAATTACTTCTGTTTTATATTTCTCTAGAGCCTGACTGATCAGTTTTGTTACGTCCTGTGCCTTGAGTTCAGGGTGTCCTGAAGATTCACTATCAGACTTTTCATCCTCATCTGCCCCACTGTTTGCCATTGGTGAACTGGAAGTCTGTCCCTGTATCTTGCTTAAGCGTTTTCTCATTTTTACTATTGTTGTTGGGTTATCCTTAGTTTAACCTTTAGGTTATTACTTAAATCTTCCTGATATAGTTGGGCTTCAGCCCATGGGTCTCTAATGACTCATAGACATTCTCATTTTCATAATACTGAAAAAAACAGCTCATTGAATCAATCACAATCTTTTATCCTAATTGATACAATCAGCACCACAATATAATGAAGCACAGTTTGCAAATTGACCACTTACAGTAGTCATCAATCTATCACCTTCAAACCATGTGAATTTAATCAAAATCAAGAAGCAATCCAAAATTTGCTTACAGTAAATAAACTTTTCAATAAGGATATTTACCATTTATTTACAATGGGGGCTTAAAACAAAGTTAAGACAAGAGGAGTAGATAAATATAAGAATTAGAGAAGTTTTCATATGAAGCCAAAAGATAGAATGACCAGATAATCGTCAGGAAATTGTTAAATTCAAAAAGAACAAACAAAATAGAAATATAATAACCCTTGAGTGAGGCAGAATAACATAAGAAAAGAACATAAAGAAAAGAGAAAAAAATAATAAAAGAAGAAAACGGAATTAGGACAAGAACAGAAACAAAAAGGGAGATGAGGGATACTATAGTGGAGTAAGAGACTGAGTTAGAGAAAGAAAAAAAAAAGAATTTGCAGAGTAGGATAAAAAAAGAAAGAAACAAAAATGAGTTTGAAGGGCCTCTTTCAGACTATATCACTGCTGTCATAATATACAATATGTTCTGCCATTTGCAGAGCCGAGTCCCCTGACCTCAGCTAGCTGGTGGCAGAACCCCACAGAAGACTGAGCTCGGGCTGCAAGGCCCAGACTGAGTTCCCCGACCTCCTAAAGGGTTGAACTCCACTCAGTTCTACTATAAGTTTCCCCCACCACTTCTTTAAAGATATTCACAGTTGAAAGTGCCAGAAAATACTCTTTATGACCACCTCTGCCTCTACAGAGTAGGTCCAAAGACTGGTACAATCTGGAGGTCTAAAAGCGTGAGGGGGAAGGTTGGGGGGGTTTCGGGGGTGCCCACGCAGCTACCTTTCTGGCGCTGAAGATGGTGGCAGCGGTACCAGCAGGGGAGGGCCCGGCCGAGAAGACCCTCTGGTGCTGAAGATGGCGGAACGCAGCCTGCAGGAGAGGGCGGGGCCACTGTAGTTTTCATTGTAAGAGGTCTTTCACTTTTTTAGGTCAATTCCTAAGTATAAAATTTGAGTCTTTTGTTAAAATTTTTTGGATTTTCTATGTAGGGGATCACATCATCTGCAAATAATAATTTGGTTTCTTCCCTGTAGGCATCCCTTTTATTTCTTTCTGTTGCCTAATTGCTCTGGCTAAGCGTTTCAAGAAGTATATGGGATGGGAGATAGTGGACAACCTTGTCTTGTTTCTGGTTTCAGGGGAAAAACTTTCAGCTTCTTTCTATTTAATATGAGTGGCCATTGGTTTGTCAAAAATAGCTTTTGTCAAATCAAGATGAGGTCCTCTTGTGGTTGGAGATTTAGCTCAGTGGTCCTGCCGCCTGCCTTACAAGCTCAAGGACCAAAAAAAAGATGAGGTCCTCCTATATGTATTTTCTTCAAGGTTTTTATTATGGGAGGATGTTAAAGTTTTGTCAAAGGCCTTTTCTCAGTCAGTTGAAATAATCCTGTGATTTTTGTCCTTGCTTCTGTTTATGTGATGTATTATATTTATTGATTTGTTTATATTGAATCATTCCTGCATCCCTGGGTTGAGTACTGCTTGATCATGATGTATACTCTTTTTGATGATTCATAGCATTCTGTTTTTTGTTGTTGTTGTTGTTCTTTGCTTTTGTTTTTTTGTACTGGGGATGGAACTCAGGCCCTTGCACTTACAAGGCAGGCAGCGGAACCACTGAGCCAAATTCCCAGCCCTCGTGGCATTCTGTTTGCCAGTATCTTATTGAAGATTTTTGCACTGAAAATTATGTTCATTGAGGATATAAGTATGTAATTCTCTCTTTTTTTGTTGTTGAGCTCTTTTCTGTTTTGGAATCAGGGTAATGGTAGCTTCCAGTAATGATTTTGGGAGCTCTCCTTCACTTCTGACTTCATTAAAGAGTTTAACTAGTATTGGTGTTAAATCTTCCCTAATGTCTTAGAGATATTGGCAGTGAATCTATCCATATGTGGGCTTTTCTTAGTTCATAGTTTGTTTTTTTATTTCTTCATAAAAGTTTCTGTATATTTTCATTGCCTGGTATTAGATTATTCAGGCTTATTATGTCATTATCTTTAATAATAACTAGCAATTGTGTTGTACCTGTGATGCTTCATGTACTATTTTAAGCAACACACACACACACACACACACACACACACACACACGCACGCGCGCTGTTATTCTTCATATTGACCCTTTGATATAGGCACTGCTATTATCCCATTTTACATTTGAGATGGAAACGGACACAAAGGAATTTAGTAAAGTCAAGCTAGTATGCAGCCAAGCTAGGATTTGGCCCCTCACATTAGGGTCTGTGCACCTTACTTTTATTTAATGTTTGTTTCATGGTAACCTGGAGGTATTTTGGGGATGGAAATAATGCAGTGTTAGTGGGTATTTTATTCCTTTTTTTTCCACATTGTTTCTCTGGTGTGAGAAACTAAAAATGTATACATGTATAATAGACATTGTGAAATAGTTGTTATTTTAAATGGGAGCATGTTAATTTTCCTCATCACAATTTTGTGATAAAATGCAAAATAACCATTAGAGATTTAGAAAATAGCTAAAATTTAATAGTTTTAAGATAAGTACTTCCTTAGTCATAATGTGGGAGGCTAGAGCTGCAGCATATTTACTTAAGGAAAAGAAAAATTAGAATAAATACAAAGAAGAGGAAAGATATTTGGAATTCTGCTAATTGACTGGGAAACAAGAGTCACTAGAGACTCTGTATTAAAATACGTAATTTAAAGCAATGTGTCTGCCTGGGATACATGACTTTTTCTATCCTTAGTCTCACATACTTTGCACTCACATTTTAAAAAGTTTTGTTCAGAGTGAAGAACAATCCCCATGGTTTACCAAACACTAGAAATATTTCTTCTGGTCATGTTGGTACTGATAGGAGTTTAGGTCACAGGTGCTATTGTTGTTTTACTATAGGTAGCTTTATTAAAAACAGTTTATCTAAGATTAGGTCAAGCTGTCCTATCTGAATCCCTCCTTAATTCACAGCCATTCTTGTTAAATCTATTAAAATGTTAATGTTTTTAAAATAATATTTTAAATAAAATACATAGATGGGATTGGAGGAAAATGTTATTATTGTAATACAGGTACTAGTAGAATCAACATGGTATTCTCTTCCTTTCTTGGGCAGGGACCTAAGTTTTAGAGTTCCCCTGCTCCTTTGTGCATTCTTTGTCCAAGAGGGGTTACCTGATTCTTAAATGTGCTGTGCAGCCTCCAGTCGTGAGACTTAGGAAACAGTAGCTGATACTCTTGTCTTGCCTGAGATGCCCTGGTCCATTTTTCTCCATGGCTAATGTTTCCTGTTACAATTCAGCAGTCCATTTTTCCAAGTATTTCTGGCCACAAAGCCTAAGGGAGCTAAATGCCGGTTCTCATCATCTTTACAATATTCACATAAATCCTGTGAGGAACTTTCTTAGCTTACTTATTACATGGAATTTTTTAACAGCAGGTTTTCTGAACTGTCCTCTCCCATTGCATCCTGGAGGCTCTGTAAACATTTACAGAAGGGATCAAGAGAGCTGCTGCCTTTGTGGTTGAGTTTTTTTAACCCCAACCCCAACTCCTCAATCCCGCATCACTACCATCACCACCATCACCACCTCTAACTTCAGCAGCAGGAAAGATGGAAGTCCTTAGATGAGCACATTCCCTGCAAGGCTTGCACTAAACTGGAGAAGAATGTGAAGAGTTTTGTGTTAATGAGGACACACACACACACACACACACACACACAGCCTCTGAGTAAGCAAGACCAAATGAAAGTAGGGAATAAGGTGAAATGAAATTGAAGTTCATAACATATAACAGTTTTTCTTTTAAGGGAATGAAATAGTATTGTACTTATGGAATTTGCACAGATGTTATTTTATATGGTTTGCAGATATGTCTTTCTATAATCTCTTTATTATAAAATATTGAAATCATATATACAGTATTTTGAAACCTTTTTCTCTGTAGTGTACAGCAAAGGTCATTTTTATTAAGCTCTGCGTTATCTTTGAGGCTACATTTTAAAGACATTGTTTTTGGTAGAGTATTATAAATGCATAAGATCATTCAGCAGCACAGCCATGACTGGGTTGACAAATGCCAATATGCTACATAATACACCATAAATTGCACTATTTCTACATTGTGAAGATTGTCTTTTCTAGTAAATTAGTTTTTCTTTGTTTATGATTAGTCTGATCTAAACTAATTTTTTACCTAAAAAATTAACTAGCAAGAATATGTTGGCACTTTAACTTGCCTTAATAGATAACTAATTTTGTTTCTTGTGTTTATCTAGAAAAAAAGAAGCTTGGCTATAGTCAGATACATCCCTGCCTATTAAAGGAAACTAAACCTCTAACATATGAGGATATAGAAACTGTGTCTTTTGATCCAGAATGGGAACAACAAGTGATGAAATTGTGTCCATGGAACAGACTTCCTCTTCCTCTTCTCTTAACCCCCTGTGCTTTGAGTGTGGCCAGCAGCACTGGACCAGAGAAAACCACTTGTACAATTACCAGGATGAGGTGGATGATGACCTTGTCTGCCACATTTGCCTTCAGCCCCTGTTGCAGCCACTGGACACACCCTGTGGACACACATTCTGCTACAAGTGCCTCCGAAACTTTTTACAAGAGAAAGATTTTTGTCCATTGGACCGGAAAAGACTTCACTTCAAGTTGTGTAAGAAGTCTAGCATTCTAGTTCATAAACTTCTAGACAAATTATTAGTTTTATGTCCATTTTCCTCAGTATGTCAAGATGTGATGCAGCGCTGTGATTTGGAGGCACATCTTAAAAACAGGTAAAAAATATGGAAGAAAAATGAGTAACTAGATTTTATAAAAAAGATTGCTCAAATGAACAAATAAAGATGATTAAAAAATACAAAGTGCCATTGATTGGTTGATTGTGGCCATTTGTAGTACTGGAGATGAAACCCAGGGCCACTGCTCTGAGCTACATCCCCAGCCCTTTTTATTTTTTTGCCAGAGTCTCACCAAGTTGCCCAGGTGGAATTCTGAATTTGCAAACCTCTTTTCTCAGCCTTCCAAAGGCTAGAAATCCAGGTCTACACCTGGCCACGAAAGTACTATTTTATGCCCATTAATATTTTTGCTTCTATAATATAAAACTTAAATGCAAATAGGTGATAGGCTTTTTAAAAGGTACTTTGGCAATTTGTTTTAAAAACTGTACATGTAAATATCCTTTTATCTAGTTTATTATCCTAAGGCAGTGGTGGTGAACCTATGCACGCATGCCTTAGCAGGCTGTTTGTTGTCTTTGAAGGTACTAAAAGGTTCATCATCACTGTCCTAAGAAAGTAATGTAAAAGATAGAAAAATTGTTTTTGAAGATACTCACTGCAACATTGTGTATAGTTTGATAAATTGGTGTTAAAATAATTAAAAATAGGGAAAAGTTAAAAATATGACTACATCAACTCAATGAGATTTTATACAGTCAAAAATGGTAATTTTGTTGGAAAAATAAACATGAAATAAGTTGCATGATTTAATTTGCTACGATCTTGTAAAGTTAGGCTAGACTGAACAAGAAGTAGAAATTGAAATATTTAGTGAGCATTTTTGTTCTAATAAGAACTCTTCGAAAGGTTAAGTAATTCAGCTCTTGGTAAATTTGATTTGATTTGATTTGATTTTAGTAAAAGACTCAATCTTTGAAATTATTTAAACCTTTAGGAAGAGTTAAAATATGCCTCATGTCTAGGATTACATAACATGGTAGAAATAAATGTATTGAAATGCACTGATTTTTAACCTCAGAGTAGCCATGTGTTCAGTATAAATCTACGGGAGTTTTGATTGCTGTGAGAACAATGTGTGGTCTTTCATTTTTACATTTTTATATAAAAATATAAACCTGGTATGGAATGACATCATTATAGTCACAAAAAATTACAGAATTGAGCAAGATTATTATCTAACCCCATTACTTTACAATAAGGAAACTGAGTCACAAAGCTTGAGAACTGGTTAGTGGTATAGTTATACTTAACCTTTAGTATTCTTATTTACCTTCTAATATGTTGTGTTGAATCTACCGCTGGTCACATCATGCACTCATGTACCATATAGTAGTCAGAGCTTCATAAACATGTAAATATACATGTTCATTCTGTTTCTAGGTAGGGATAAGTAAAGGCATTTCATCATACTCAGTAGAAATAACTAAGACATCAGAAAGAAAAAAATGATATTGATATGTTAGAAACATCAAGGTTTATAGACTGCATAAATCTGAACTATGTTGTCTAAAACTTGGGGTTAAGAAAGAATAGGAAAGGTAGCTATTTGAAAATGCATGTAACATAGCCTTATATTTTGGGTATCTTCTTTCACCAGCAGGCTTAGAATTATTATGTCTAATTGTACTATCCATTACTGAATGGAGTATTGAAGCCTACATTACTGTTGAATAGTCTGTTTCTCACTTTAATGTCAGGGATATAATTCTATTGGATATAGACATTTTGGTTATTGTTTCTTGCTCTACTTTCAAAAAATGTTTAATATTGTATTTTGACTATGTTATTCATTGCCATCTAATGTATAGTTTCTAAGGGAAATCAGTAGGCTCTTTCTGAGGGTCTTTTCCATGTGTGGAATTGTTTTTCTCTTGCTATTTTCAAGATTCTTTTTATGGGGGGGTTGCTGTTGTTTGGGGGTTTTGTTTGTGTTTTGAGACAGGGTCTTGCTATATAGATAAAGATCAGGCTGGCCTTGAACTCACCATGTAGCCCAGGTTGGTCTCAAACTTGCTGCAGTCCTCCTGCCTCAGCCTCCAGCTCTGAGAATCTTTGTCTTTGTCTCATGAATTTGGTGTGGATCCTGCTACTGGTTTTCCCATATGGAGTTTGTTAAGCCTCTTGGATGTATAGATGAATGTTTTTGGTGGGTTTTGCCCATTGTTTCTTCAAATACTCTTTCTGTTCCTTTGCCTTATGAGACTCATAGTAGGTAGGTAGGTGGATAGGTAGATAGTTGGATAGATAGATGATAAATACTCTTGATGGTGTCTCACAGTGCCCTGTAGTTTTGTTTTGTTTGTTTTCTTATTTTTCTGTCTGTTCCTAGGACTGGATAATTTTAATTTATCTTCAAATTTGTTTATTCTTCCTATTCAAATCTGTTTTTGGACTTCTCTAGCGAAGTTTCATTCACTGTACTTTTTATACTAAACTTTCTGTTTAGTTCTTTATTATTGCTTATATTTCTTTATTGATACTTTCTTTCTCGTGAAACAGTCTTATATTTTGCTTTCGATCTTGAACATATCCAAGATTTCTGATTTGAGTCATCTGATAAATCCAGTGTTTCTGCTTATCCAGGGACAGTCTGTTGATTACTTGGATATAGGCCACACTTGGTTTTTTGTACATTTCTTAATTTTGTATTGAACCCTGGAGATTTTAGATAATAGACCTAGCAACTTTGGAAATTAACTTCTTTCCCTCATCAACATTTATTGTTGCTTTGTCATTATTGTTTCCTCAGTGACTTTTTGAACTAATTCTGTAAAATCTTCATTGCTAAGCGAATGATTGAACAGAGGATTACTTTAATCCCTGGGACCAGTAAATCTGCCAATCTTCCTTTCTTCTTTCTGAGTGTACCATGGGAAAACCACACCTTCAGCGCTCAGAGCATTAAACCACTCTGCCTTGGCCTTCATCTCCTTCACAGACCTTCGGCATCAGCCAGAAGAGAGAGCACTGGGCTTTCCTGTAGGCCTTTCCTATGTGGGCACACAGCCCTGGACTTCTGTGAACCTTTCATTCCCTAGTATTTCATAAATTTTTGGTTAGTCTTTTGTTTATCTTTGTTCCTCAAGCAGCTACAATCTTGAACAGTTTGCTATTTTTGTGTTTGTTTCTTTTTTCAACAAATGCCCCTAAGTGAAAATGCTAACTTAGAGTAGGCTGTAAGTCAGGTCAGGTAGAGATAGCCTTGCAAGTGGAGTCTTCAGTGAACAAACAGAGACATCAAATGTTGACAGTTCTCTGAAGATACAGATTTGAAGGTGCTTTAATCTGCTTCTCTAGTGGCTACAAGATTCCTGGCTTTTGGTACCTGCTTTTCCAGTCTACCATGGCTCTGGACAATTGTGATAGCAGTAGGGAAAGTCCAAATGCCACAAACCTCTATGTTGGTTCTGAGAACCAGCCATTTTTCTTAACCACTTACCAATCCAGTTATTTATGTGCAGGGTGACCAAAAATTGCATTTTTTCATTAATTTTTATAAGATAAAAGGAAATGTAAAAAACAATTTTATCAAATTTATTCAGTACAAAAATTGACTAATTAAAATGACATCTGCCCAATCAGTGCTTGAGATAGGCAGTGCCTAAACAAACGCGCTGCCTAAGTGACGCTCGGGTAAACTATTAAGTGGTTAAATACGTAGTCTGAACTGCTACAATCCTTTGACTCATTTCTAGAGTTCAGGAATAGTTTTGGTAACTTTTTCTCATCTTTACATTGCTTATATTTTGGAGAGGCTGTTCAGATATATTCAGTGTGCCATTTTTGCTGATATCAAATGAATTGTTTTTTGTGTTACTCCATAACTGTTTTTATCATTCTTCTTGACTCTGGTGTGCTTTCAGCTCCATTACCTGGCATGTGGTGCTTAGCATGCATCACTTTATTTTATGTCTACAGTGTTATTGCCACTGCTACCGTTAATATTTCTCTTACTAACGTAGTGTGTTCTGTTATACCATATGTGTCCTAATGTGAATTAGGTCATATGCAGTTGTTATCTGGGATGTTGCTATAGCGTGTCATCTTAGTTCATATGTACATTTTTCTATAAATGAGGCTCAAATAATAGAAATGGATACATAGCCTTCAGCAGGAAAGGAAAATCCTTCAGTTTGGCCTTTGTTATTGTATGAGCCCTTCGGTTTTATTTTAAGAAAAGTTTAAAAACATGCCTGCATCTAGAGATCACTCCCTGGGGAAGTGCAGCCCTTAGCCTGTGGCAGATTTCACTGCCTCAGCAGCCTCTGGGCTCCATTTGCATCTGTGTGGTCTCCATACATGCCTACTCCGATCTAATTAAATGTTAAAGACATTTCTATTTTCTTGTTTGTTTGTTTTTTATATCCATGCGCTAGTCTGCTACACTGAATTACCTACTGAAATAAACCAAGTTGCTTCCTTCAGTGCCAGTTACAGCTTGTTACTACTACTAAGTGTTCCATTTCCAAAGATGCATAGGATTTTGATTTTGTTAGTTGAATGATCCCTAAGGCCCTTCTAGCTCTAATATTCTATGATTGTGTTTGTAGGAACAAGTCTGTAGAACAAATCCAATTTATGTTTTTGTAAGGCTTAAGAAAAAAAAATTCCACATCAGTGAATTTAGTAAGGTAGAAAAGGACACAAACCTTTGAAATCTGACCAGAGTTTGTATGAATTTAGGCTGTGCAATTAAATAGTTACGTATATTAGCCTAGTTCAGCCTCAGAGATTTTCGTTTGTAAAAAGAACTTATTATTGAGGATCCAATGAAATGAAGTATAGAGAAAGGTTACTTCACAGTGACTGGCACTGAATATGCACCCCACAGATACTTGGTTTTGGTGTTTATTTATTGTTTTGTTTTATTTTTTCCTTTCACTTTTAAATGCTACATACTTGAAGGATCAAAGTCTCTTGGTTATTACCTTTTCTCTGTCCAAGCCTGCACTGATCTACTCATACTCTAACAGTTTTTTTAGTAGCTTTATTACTATATATGTCACATACTGTAAAACTCATATTTAAAGTGTACAGGTCAGTGGTTTTTTTAGTATAGGAACAGAATTTTATAACATCACAATCTAATTTAGAATATTTCAACTCTTTAATATAAAGAATGCCCATTAGCATCCATTCCCCATTCCCTTGTGCTCAGATTTTGAATGTACTGCCCTAACCCTCTTTTTCCCTTAAATCTCATAATTTTCAGTGTTTAGTTTTTACAGAATATATATGTTATATTGATATGGATATTTGTATTATAATCTGAACTTTACCCCAGCAACAGAAAGTGCTTTTTTCCAAGCCACTGTGACCTATATGAATAAGCTTTCCATTACTGACAAAATACCTTGAAAGGAGGAAATGTTTATTTTTGTTCATGGTTTCAGAAGTATTGGTCGATTGTTGCTTGTTCCTATTGCTTTGGGTCTGTAGTCGACACAGCATATAATGCCAGAAACGTGTGGCAGAGGTTTGTTCATTTCAGAAGAATCAAAGAGATGGGGAGGGTCTCCAGTCTGAATATCCCCTTCAGGGGAATGGCCCAATGACCTAACTTCTTCCACTAGGCCCCACCTCTTAAAGGTTCCTCCACCTCCAGTAGAACCACAGATTAAAGACCAAACCTTTAACACATGGGCCTTTGGAGGAAATTCAGATTCAAACTGCAGCACCTTCTATTTGCTAGATAAAACTGGGACTTCTTAGTTTATATCTGATTTATTCCTTCTTTAGAAATTGTCTTATTGGCTACTTTGTTGATACACCTATTTCCCTTGGTTAAGTTTGATCTTTTTCTCTCAGTCTTCTGCCTGGTAGTTTTATCTTAGTCTACCCAGATGGCATAAAATATAGGTGTTCCCAAAGGTTTTATCTATAGCCTTTCTCTTGTCATGCTGGATGAGATCATTTTTACATGGTATCATTTAAATATCTTTCCTGTTCATACTGGCAATTTCCCACACTTGTTAGCAATTTGCTGACCTATTGGGAATGTAAGTTTGTTTCTCCACCTCTCTATCAACTTTAGGTTTTTCTTTTTAAAATACATTTTAACGTACTTGATAAGATAAGGCCTGCAATTATTTAGTTAGGGAGGGTGTAAGAGGTTAAAATTGTTAGCTGATTCCAGATGTTCACATTGTGTTTATTTTTTCATTTCCTGTTCTTGATCTATTTTTTTCCATTAAAGACTAGCTTTTGCCCATATGGATATTTGTGTATAACATCATTTGGAAATGAGATCTTTATCTTTTCAGTCCTAGTATTTTTATGGTCTAGTTTATGCCTCAACGTTTTTTGTTTTTGGAGTAAAATACTGTGAAAATTGATTTCTAATTAAGTCTGCTTACCTGACAAAAATAACATTTTCCTTTATCTAATTTTCAAAAATATTTGTCAATCCTTGCAAGAACATTCCCTGAAGTACTACACACAATGCAGAAAGGAAAATCAATTGTCCCCCTTAATAAGGTGTGAAGAAAATGAGAAGGGGGGTGAATAAAGGAATTTTAAGCAATCCTTTCCAAGAACTTGAAATACAAGATTTAAAGGTTTCATTCATGTGGGAAAACTTACTATCTTTATAGTGGGAATAGCTTTCAGTTTTAATTGAATTGAATTCTGTTTTGCATTTTGTTAGAAGTGTTGGATTTTTAAAAATATTGTCATTTAATCAAAGGCTGTAACAACCAGCCTATAGTCAAGGGTCAGCTCCCCAAGGGTGGGGAGGTAGCTCTACTTCATAAGTCCCATATTGTCCTCCTACTCCTCAAACTGGGCTTTATTGGTCACTTGTTTCAGTCAAGGACAAGGAGATGGCACCTGAAGATCACTTCTAGTGTGTGTTGTGTAAAGCTTTTATTTAAATATTTCATTAGTTATTAACTTAAGCTTTCTTCTGCTCTTTCTGTTCACTTAATTAAAAACAGGCATATTAACAGTTCTTTGTGCCTACGTTTTCCAAATATACTTGGAATTTATTCTTCAACTTACAATCTATCTATAATGCCACTACTGCAATTCTGATTTTACAGTCTAAGACATACATTTTTGTCTACTGTATCTGTCATAAATTATTTGGCCCTTTCCTGTGCCTTACTGTAAGTTGTAAAGCTTCAGATACGCTAGGACCCATTAATGAATAAATGTGTAATGTGGCCTTGGAGAGTGAGTAAGGCAGCACTGTGGCTACTTAAAGTCTCTGAACGCAACTGCTCATAGGGGAATAAGACTGCTAATTCCATTCATGAAGGAAGACGATTACTAATTGCCACTGCTCTGCTTGAGACATTCCACCTGTAAAAAGGGTAGCATAATGTGTTTTTCAGAATTATTCTTGCAGTACAGACAGCTATTGGGAGGTCTTCTGGTGACTATTATTTATGATTTTTTGCTGAAGTATTCTTTGAGGTATTTACCAAATCATTGTACATAACAGTGGCTTTTGTTTTTAATTTGGTGTGTTGAATGGTAAGAATTTAGTATGAGTAGAGATTAGGGTCACAATTACATACTGCTTGTACTTCTAGGTTCTTTTTGCTTAGAAGCCATTGCTGCTATTGTTTTGAGGTATAAGCTACTAATTCACACCCTCCCTTTTTATTTTTTTCTTTTCAAATCCTCTGGAAACTACTTGATATTCTTTATAGATGTCCTGGAGCTTCTCATCAGAGAGTTGTCCTAGAGAAAAGGAAAACTAGTAAAACTCAGACGGAGATTGAAAATGAAAGTGGATCCACTGTAATAGATCCTCTAGGTACTCTATCCCCAGAAACAGACTGTTCAGGGATGGGAACAGGCACAGTGCCTACCGAGCGGAACTCAACATTAGCCTGTCTTCCCACCTGTCCTGAGGGACCTGGCCTGGACAATCCTGCCTTCGAAGAGAGCGCTGGAGCTGACAGTATGTGCAGATCACATCCTTCTTGTGTACTTCCTCTCTTGTTGCCTTCCTTCCCTCTAGTCCTCCAATATGTACCTTTGTCCTCTTTTTTAAAGTTACTTTATTGAGATACCACACATTTCACGCTATTCTGTACATAGTCTAGCTGTGGAGGAAGATGGTCCTTCCCCATCCCTTTTCTGTTGTAGTTTGTGAACTAGTCATTGACATGCTTCTTACCATAGTATTCATATGTGTATGTTTCAAAACTTGTTTTGCTCTGAACATAACAAACATCATCAATAACAACAAAAACAAAAATAAGAGCTCAAATAAAGTGCTTACTCTGTGTCAGATACTGTACTGATAAGCACATTCTATTAACCAATTAATTAAATACTTGTAACAACTTTAGGAGGTTTTTTTGTTGTGTTTTTTTAAAGCATAAGAATGCTGGAGCTTGAAATTAAATAATTGTGCTTATACAGTCAGTAGGTAATTGGAAATGCAGTCTCTGATTCCCTGGATATGCTTTATAACATCATACCCCCTGGAGCCAGCCACTATTCTGTCTGCTAACACTCCTAGGAAACAAAACCTATACTCATAGATCTTTGCTCTACATTGGTAGTTGGCCCTAGGTATTTTTCAAAAATTGTTTTCTCTTACAAACTACAAATTCTGTTAACATAGTCATATTTTTATTACCATGAATTTGATACTTTTTAATCTCCTGAGATTTAGTTCCAGGTCTGCCTCTCCTTAGGAGCTTGATATGGCTACTCCTTTAGCACCTGTGGGTATATATAATATCATAGTTACTTTCTGCTGCCTGGCACTACTTCTACTTGTTTCATGATTTAGACTTTCTTTTATTATGTGGGGCAAGAATAAGATAACTCTGTTAATGTTCGTCAAATCACTGAGTCATCCTACTGATCTGACATGTTGTGGTTATTTATTAATTATTTATGGATAACTTTTGGATTTTTTGTTTCCAAGACAATATCTCTAGGCTGGCCATAAATTTATTATATAGTCCAGGTTGGCTTCAAACTCGTGATACTCCTGCCTCAGCCTACCAGGTGTTAGGCTTGCAGCATACCTGGAGCCACCATGTCAAGCCAGTGTTTTATTTTGTATTTAATATAGTGTTTTATTTTGTTTTTGTCATTCTACTTCTTACCTGGTGGTATTGTTTAGTTATTAATCATCTACATGTTAACATGAGATGTCTTATTACCCAGAGAGACCCAGAATATAAAACCTTCTTTCTCTATCTGTTCTTCCTCTCCCATTTTTAACTTGGCAGCCACACAGCAGCCACTTAGTTTACCAGAAGGAGAAATTACCACCGTTGAAATCCACAGATCTAATCCATACATTCAGTTAGGAATTAGCATCGTGGGTGGCAATGAAACGCCACTCATTAACATTGTCATCCAGGAAGTCTACAGGGATGGGATCATCGCCAGAGATGGGAGACTCCTTGCTGGAGACCAGATTCTTCAGGTATTGGTTTTAATTATTATGCCTGTTAACTTGTACTTTGTTCTTTGAAGTTTAAAATTTAGAAATTTGAGATATTATAGAATCTGAGTTATGTAAAACTTAGTTTTGATGTTTTTATATGCAGAACAGAATAGAATTTATCTGTGATTTCTTCCATTTCACCATTTCCCTGGAATACAAATTTCCTGTCTTACTTTGCAGTCCCACCTATGACTGGATACACAGTGCTGGGCTCTCTAGGCTTGTGAGACTCTTCCTGGTTTTTACTCCATGACTGCCTTTTCCAAGTGACATTTACTTTGGCTGAAATTTCTATCATGGGTTTATTCCACACTTAAGTTTTCCTATTCATTTCTTAGCTTCATGTCTGATTTATCCTTCTACATATCACTAGATTACTAAAATTTAGAAAAAAAACAGAACCACTAGTTATTGATATTTTTCTCCCCTTGATACTAGGGATTGAACCTGGGCCTAGTACATGCTGGACAAGTACTAGACCTGACCACTCAGCTATATCCCCAACCTAGAATATGAGATAGAGATCAGAAATCTTAACAGCTGTCTCCCAATATCTTCCCAGTGTACCACTGATATTCTAAAGCTGCACTTTCAGTAACCCCTCATACCACCCTTTCTGTTCCTTCCAGAAAAAGCATTATTAAAGAAAAAAAGTTATGTGAGGCAAGGTGTTCTATTAGAGGACTCATTAAGAATGAAGGGATGGAGATGGTAAAGATTCTGCTACATAGGACTAGAGTTTATGTGAAGACTGGCCTGGACATTTAAATCAGTATGACAGTAGTTGAAGTTCTAACAATGGATAACTTCTACAAGAGAGAAAAAGTAGTCAAGAGCAAGAAAAAAGGTTTTCTAGGAACCTAAGCACGAGGACTCTTTCTGCCTCGAATTTGTTTTTTAGTCCTTCATATGATCTGCTAATATCTACTTCTTATTTCCCTTTTCCCTGTTACCTTTCTAGTCTAAGCCTTCGTTATATCATATCTGATTTAGTAGAATACTCCATGAAGTATCTGTGCCTCCCAGTTCTCTTCCCTAAAACCTGACATGATCACTACCGGGTTAATACAGCTGTCAACCTGCTTTCCTTGCAAAGATTCAGCTCCCGCACTGGCTTCATACTAATAGTCAAGGTCCTGGTGCTTTGTGGCCCCTTATGCAACCTGTCTTAATGCTTTCTTTGGTGTTTGGCATGCCAGTTTGTTCATTTCTTTTGTGTTCTAGGCACTGTACTACTTGCTAGGGATACATTTAAAAGCAAAATACTATCTTGTCTTCATTGAATGTACAATCTAGTGGGGAGCAAGACACAAAAATCTTCTTGCTTCCCTGTGGATGGCCCACATTTCAGTCTGTCCTTGTCTTGTGTTCCAAGTTTGTCCACCTTCACCTTGAAAGCTTAGTTTATCCATTCATGCCCACACGGATCCCTCCTCACCTTAATTACTGATAACATTCATTGCTCTTAGCACAATCAATTATAGTGAATTATTTAAACATTTTACTCAAATGTATACAGTTTTTCTTTGGTGATTACAACAACCCTGATGGTATGGATTATAAAGATTTCTCATAGCATTTAATAGTCCTCAAGAGATGCTTAATGTTGATTTGGTTGTGATATCTTGTTGACAACAGCTATTATTAAAGCAAAATGTGAAACCATTAGGAGTTTTAGTTCTTGAACTCTTCAGATTTGGGAGTGAGGTGGGAGACAGGCCACTGAAGCAGCTGGGATTGACCTGTCATTGGTAGTTCCTGGGTGTGGCTCCCATGCCATTTGTATGCTGCCAATAATGGTATATTATTTCCACATTAGCATGTAAGCCCCAAACCTTTCCTTCATTGCCCCTGGCATGACTAAGACAGAATGAACTTTCAAGCAGTATTTTGTTTTGCTATCAAACGTTAAGTCCAGGAAATAGAGGAATATAGGAAGCAAAGCTAATCCAGTTTATGTAAAATCAGATTTCTGTATCATAGCTTTGTGAGGCTGGCACAAATTTGAGGAGACCTTACCTGCCCTTCTTATTTCCTAGTTCCTGGTCCCATTTTACATGGAGGGAGGGAATCTTCAGCAGTTTCCTGAGCACCCCCTCCCAGACCTCTCAACACCTTAGTGGTCAAGGCCAGGACAGCAAGAGAAACCTTTACAACCTACATAGTATTTTGTATTTTTCCTGCATCTAGCCTTTTAGCTGTAATTTAAGTGTATATTTATTTTTGTTTGTTGCTACTGGCAACATGCCAGCTTTGAGTATTTCCATTTTTATTCATTTCTCATTCTTTTTTTAAATTTTAGAAGTAAAAATAAAAGCTGTTTTCATTTATTTTTTAAAAATATCTTTGAGATTGGTTTTTGTTTACAAATATATTTCATCAGTGAGCTTTTCACTCTTTTGTTTTGAAGAATTGCTTAGTAACATAGCTGAATCTCCATGCCTCAAAAAAATTATAATTATCCAAAATTATTAACTATTTTTAGGAACTAATCTTATAAGTTATAAAATCTACATTGTAGAAATTCCATTGCATTCTTATTGCCTGTGGAGACTTCTATACTATTAACTCCAATAAGGACAGTCCTTAATCTGTTTTAATGATGCAAGCTGAGAAGTAAAGTGTGAACACATAACCTGATTAATGAATTCACAAAGGGTCTCTCCCATTGTGAGCCCTAACTCCTGGTTGGCTTCTAACTGGCATGTTAGAACCAATAAATAAAACCATCCACTTTGCAGAGAAGTATTCACAGTCATTCAAAAGTTAAAACAATTAGAAAGATGCCTATTTGGCAGTTTGTACTACTTGGATACCTTCCACTTTATATAATCTGGATAAATAATATAGTGAACCAATTTGAAAATCCCCAAGAAGCAGTAATATGGTTTGCTTGCAGACCAGAGAATTAAGCTGTGGTTTTATTTGAACAAACCTTACGTAGTTAAGTGGGTAGCTTTGGTTTCCTCACATTTAAAAAAAATGCAGATATAGATATATGCACATATATATGTTATTCTCATAAATAGACTTTTCAAAGGAGGACCCACAGAGTCTTTTGCTATTCTTTAGAGATAGATTTATATGCATACATTTGAGCAGCTTTGGAGGAAAAAATGCTGCTTTTATAAATTTAGGTACCATTATTAAACATTATTCAACTTTTAGAACATTACAAAATATGAGTGTCTTTAGTTTGATCAAAAATTCAGGTATTTTCATGTTGAAAAAAATAATAAGGTGTTGATCACATGGGTTAAAAACACACGTGGCCCAAAAACGTCATCACATTTTTGTTTATCACTCTAATGCTATTTTTACAAAATCAAAAAATGGTATTTTATATGGTCTCTATCTCAGAATTTCACTAGCAGCTATGCATCTGTGAAGGAAGAATTTTTTTTCCAGTTGTAGAATATTTTTAAACCTACATCACAAAATGTGAAGCTGAATGTCGGCACATGGCTGGAAAATATTACAGAATTTTAGCCAGACATTTTGTAAAGTTCTTTGTGATATGCCCAAATATAAAGTGGAAAAATTGAACCTAAAGGTAGATAGCTTTTAGCTAAATGGCCAGAGTAATTATTTGACTTTGAGTAGGTTAACCTGTTTTTCTAGAAACTACCTGGATGTTCTAGTCTTGGCCCTCTATTAATCAGAATTTCTGTCAAAGTCTTGAATAGCTACTAAATGTGTACATGTTGCAAACTTGGGTGAACAGCAAGTTTGTGTGTGATAGCTATGAATTTGATTGAATTCTAAAATGTCAGTAGGTCAAAATCAAAATTCATTGGTAGTGTTCAAAATTGTTAATCCCAGAAAATGAAAAAAGGTCAAAGATAAAACTGTCAATCTTAGATAAATAGGAAATGGGGGGACCTTATTGTGAATTTATGTGAAAGATTTGTGCATTTCAGGCGATCACTAACACCTAACCCAAAGCCTGTCCCATTATAGATATTCAGAGAATATGGTTCATCTCAGACCAAGTCAAAGAACTTAGATTGTGATAAATGCTAAAAATATGCTCATGCCAGCTGAGGTTGCACACACCTGTAATTCTACCACTTCAAGGAGGCTGAGATAGGAGAATCGCCACACAATGAGACCCTGTCAATAAATTAATAAAAAATCAGGCAAGGCAAGCAAGCTCATGCACTAGATGAATAATTGAAGCTGGGTGTATTTTCTAAGCAATGCAACATGTCCAAAGATCAGTCAACATAATTATTTCAAGGTTGTAAAATTTAATAAGTAAATGATACATGAGTATTGAATTATGCTTAGTGTAGAAGATACATATACTGTATGCTGAGGAAGTAGAGTGAAATCATAAATACTTTAAAAGTCACTCATCTAAAACAAGGTTTTGTGCTTGGAATGTGCCACTTTTCTTAAAATGTTTATTTTCTCTGGCTTAAAAGTGTATTTAATAGGAGAAGCAAATCCGAGCAGAATTTCAGTTTCTACTAGAACTAGTATTTCATTAGCAGTTGCTCTTTGCTGATGTAGTTTGTTCTTTCTCATGCTGATCCTGTGAAGTAGATGGTAAACAAATTTTACAGATGAAGAAACACACTCAAAACACGTTCTGTCTGAGGTTAGTAAATGGCAGATCTGAGGATTCTAATTCAAGATTATCATCAAAGCCTATGATTCAATTACTATTCTCTACTTGATTCTAGTCATTGTAAGTTATTTTGTCTTTAGAGAAATTTTCTTTGTGTAATGATTGTGTAGCATTTCCACAATGCTGATTTCCAGTAGAAGTGTCATGCAAACGTTTCAACAAATTAAGACAATAAGAGATTGCCACATATCAGTCATTTTTTTTGTAGGTCAACAACTATGATATCAGCAATGTGTCCCATAACTATGCTAGAGCTGTCCTTTCCCAGCCCTGCACCATGCTGCATCTCACTGTGCTGCGGGAGAGGCGCTTTGGCAATCGAGCATATAACCATTCTGATAGCTCTCCACGGGAAGAAATTTTCCACGTGATTCTTCATAAACGGGACTCTGGTGAACAGCTTGGCATTAAGTTAGTGCGAAGAACAGATGAGCCAGGCGTTTTCATCCTTGACCTGCTGGAAGGGGGGCTGGCAGCCCAGGATGGCAGGCTCTGCAGCAACGACCGAGTGCTGGCCATCAACGGGCATGACCTGAAGCATGGAACGCCAGAGCTTGCCGCCCAAATCATTCAGGTAAATGCCAGAGGCTGAGCTGTAATTTCTACCCAGCAGTGCTTGTTATCGTTGGCACGTAATGTCAGAACTCATGGGACATTTGACATTCCTTGGAAAAATCAGACATAGTTGCTTAAATTCTTTTTTTTTTCTTTTTTTTTTTTTTTTTTTTTTTTTTGGTACTGGGGATCGAACTCGGGTCCTTGTGCTTGCGATATAGCTGCTTAAATTCTTTAACACAGCTGCTTAAATTCTTTAAAAGCCACGCTATAACTTCCTTGTAGATGATTTTTTTTTTCTGAAAACTGTATTCCTGTCATCTTTTGGGCCAGCTGTTAATACGGTGGAAAATCTATTTCACATTCATTTCTTATTTGATCTCTGGGCTCCATCTAGTAAGGCAGATATAAATAGCAGTGTCCACCTTCAACAAGGAGGAAGGTTAGGCTCAGAGGAACTGTGGTTATTAGACTTGTGAGTAATGAGACTCCCTTCAGGAGCCACATAAGTAGGAGAAAAAATTTTATTTGTTAAGAATAACTTGTCTAGCTGGGCATGGTGACGCATACGTATAATCCTAGCACTCGGGAGCCTGAGACAGGAGGATCGCGGTGAGTTCGAGACCAGCCTGAGCTACATAGTGAGTTCCAGGTCAGTCTCAACTACATAATGAGACCTTGTCTGAAAAAACCGAAAAAAAGAATAACTTGTCTCAGCCAGGTAAAGTAAGAGTTCAAGGCCAGCCTTGGCAACATAAAGAAACCCCATCTTTACAAAAAAGATTTTTAAGGAATTTGAAGTGTTTTAAGCAATCGTAAAATTGGTCCTACAGTATTTCTGTGAAGGGACGATAGTCATTATTGAAAGAAGGCTCGTTTTCAGGAAGAGCATGAAGACAATTGAAAAATCATCCAGAGCGGATCCGCTGGTTCTGCAGCATGCCATTGGAGTTAATGATGGGGGCATACTCTACAGGGATAATAGTGAAGCTGAGAGGGATTTCTCTTAAGCACAACAGAATGTTATAAAGGAAACCACACATTAATATAATTAAGCATCAGGTTGCTGAAATGTGTTTAAAACACAATCAAATAACAGTGAAAATTTAAGACTAAATACAAGTCTCAACTCCTTTTATTGCACTGAGAGGAGATTCAGGTGTTGGTCTCATTTTATAGACTTGAGATTTAAAGAAATTGGGTTCCTTAAAATTCCATGAAATTGAAGACAACTGTTAGAACCCATTCCTGTGGATGTCAGCCAGTTCCTACACTATTAAAAAGCAGTTCTTATAAGAGTGGAGATTGGTGGGAAGGAAAAAGGTAGGGGGGCTGTTACGGGACTTGACTGAAGAAGTGTAAGTGTCATAAGAGGAGTAAGATTCTCAAATAATCTTCACTGAATTTCTTATCAAAATATGGAAAATACAGTAGGTAGAAACTAAATTTCCCCTAATATTTTATATTTAGATTTCTATAGTTACGTCATATTTTATAATTTTTCCCAAGTAGTAGAAAACTAAAGTTGCTGAATTTGATAATTTTTGACAAAGAATTAAAAATCTTACTGTTTTTGGATTATTAAAAAAGTACATATAAACTATCTATAATGACACATACCTATAATCTCCAATCAGGAAATTGAGGCAAGAGGATTGTGATTTCGAGGCCAGCCTGGACTACAAGACCCTGTCTGGGAAGGAAGGAGTGAGGGAGAGAGGAGGGCAGGCGGGCAGACAGACATGCCCTAACTTGTAAATGATGTGTGTTTTTTAAATCTTTGTCAACAGTATGTTGAGAGCATCTTAAATGAAATTAGGTACAGACTCGCATCATGAATTTTAGTAGCTATTTAGTGCATAGGTACCATAATTTAATTACCCCTCTGTTCACAGACTTTGATGCTTTGTTTTCCAGTTTAAGACATTTTGCTAACCTTCCCTCCAGAAAGATCTTTCCAGTTTTATACTCCCAGCAACAGGACTTGCCTCTCATAAATTACAAATATTGTTATTTAGCATCTTACATTTCTATATCTTGTTTTGCTTTGTTTTCTTTTTTTTTTTGATTTTTGCAATACTGAAGATTGAACTCAGGGGTACCCTGTCACCAAGCTATATCCCCCATCCCTTTTTTAAAAAATTTTGAAACAGGGTCTTGCCAAGTTGCCCAGGTGGGATTCAGATTTATAATGCTCCTGCCTTTGCCTCTTTAATTAAAAGTTTGATTTGTAGCAAAACTTCTGACGTGTTTAACACTCTGAAGTGCTAAATGCACAGCCTTTGTGCACTTCCATCACATTAACAGAATTTTGTCTTTCAAGCCATCTTGAAAGATTAAAAACTTGCTTTCCATTAATAGGTTTGTAAAAGCTGTTTTCAAGTGAAGTTGAAATGATGACGTTATTTGTAAGATGTTAAACAATGATGATGACTGTATATATTGAAATAAAATCCAAGACCAAGACCTGTCATTTAAAGGTACAAGATCCCAATGGTGAATATAACTGTACTGTATATGTAAAAAGTACCAATAAACTCAATGAGAAAAAAAAAAACCAAAAGAGCTATTCAGCACTTCACAGCAGTATAATAATCCAAAGTGTCAAGATCTTAAATCTGTCAAGTTTCTAAACACTCTTCCTTACTTACTAGCCATTATTCAAGTCTCTAGTCTCTGCTTGAAGAATGCTTCAGTTATTTTGAAGAACTTGTCTAAAATTATTTAGTTTAGTAAAATGCATAAGTAGATAATTTATAGTAGGGTATTAAAATTGCCTATCACTTATTTCTTAGTTGAACAGAAAATAAAGTGATTTTTTAACATTAACTTTAATCACAGGGGAGGTTTCTACTTTACCACAATTTCTGAAAGCAGTCTCTAATATTAAAATTGAGGACTATCCCCAGTGCCAAAAAAAAGCCAGGGATTTAGCTCACTGATTCTGCCGTCTGCATCGCAAGCACAGGGTCCCAAATTCAATCTCCAGTTCCCTCCCCCCCAAAAAAATAAATAATAAAATAAATAAAATTGAGGAAGTGATCATAACCAAGAATAAGCATCAAATAAATAAGACTTGTACTTTAAAAAACAAGGACAAAATGAATTTTAATGTGTAGTAGACATGAATCTATATTTAAGATGGATTACAGGATTCTTAATTTGAAATGATAGCCATGAACCTCTCAAATAATTTAACATTTAACTCTGTGTGTGTGTGTGTGTGTGTGTGTGTGTGTGTGTGTCTATAAAAGTATAACTTACATCCTCTGTGCTGCCAGGTGAGGCTTGGTACTTTGAGAAGTATGTAGAAAATTTAGCTGCCTGTAATCTTTAAAGTGATAAGCATTATTCGTGACAGGTGATAATGTGTTTTCTCCAGGCCAGTGGAGAGAGGGTGAATTTAACAATTGCTAGACCTGGGAGGCCCCAGCAGGGTAACACCATCCGAGATGCAGGAACTCATGGCAGCAGCCAGTACCATACACAGCCACTGTCTCACAACAGACCAAGCTCACATAAGGTAAGGGTTTTGTTGTTGTTGTTGTTGTTTTCATTTATATCACCCTCAGAGTATTATTATTACAAGCTGATAAGATGCAAATGAAGGCTTTTTGTGTGGCACTTACACCTCAATAAAGCAATTCTTTTAAAAGATTTCAATGCAGACTGTTCTCTGTTGGAAAGGAGATATTAGGGATGTGAGATACATGTTTTCCCTCCTTGAAGAGTGGATGGCTTCTTTATCTCAGTTCCTCAGTCACTAGTAGTTTCTTGGCAGGGAATGTTCCCCTGTCAAATTATGACTAGAAATATATGGTCTTCCAGAAAAGTCTTATTTAGTCCTAATTAAAAGTGGGATTTATCATGGGTTGCTTATTTAAATGTAAGCACTGGTTATAGGATTGAAAAAGGATTGTGGAAACATAATTGGCAAGTCTATGTGTAGCAAGCAGTTGGGTGTGTTGCCTATAGTAATGAATTAGACATGAATATTAAACATAACCATAAATTCTGATGAGTATGTGTGTGTGTGTGTATATATACATACATATATATATGTATATGACGTTTTATGCTACAGCATAGAGAAATACATTATGGTACTAAATTATTTTAAATCTCCACATGTTGAGCTTTGCTACTGTTTCCTCAGAATGAGTACGTCATGGTTTTTTTATTATATTCCAAGGTCATTTATCAACACTAAGAATTTTGATGCTGTCTCACTTGAATTCCAAAACTCAAAAAGGATGAAATGTTAGCATTCTTGATTTACTTACTTGACTTGATCTTTCATTTAAATCCAACTTCCAGTAGGCTAGGAATGTAACAGTGATGTGATATTCATCCAGTTCTCTGAAAGTGTAAGCTAATTATGAGCTTCAGAGGTCATTCACCTTAAGTGAAATTAAAGTGCTTCACTAAATAAAAACTATTGATCATCTTTAAAAAACTATAGAAAGCTCCATTTTTGCTAATGATCTTTTAAATTTAAATATATGTAGGCTGGGGATTTAGCTCAGTGGTACCTCTGCCTGCCTCACAAGCACAGGGTCCTGAGTTCAATCCCTGATACCAAAAAAAATTAAAAAAAAGTACAAATTTAAATATATTTGAGAGAATAATTCCCTTTGAAATCTGTTACTGGTATCCTAAGAAAGACAGTATTTTGGGTCCATCAGGTGTCTTTGGTTTTTCATTTAGTTAATACTGAAGAGGAATTATAACCACAGACTCGTTCTTATTTCTGAACAAAAATCTAAATGTAAGAACGAAGCCTATGGACCAGGGATTTGGCTCAGTGGTTCCATCGCCTACCTCGCAAGTGCAAAGGGCCCGAGTTCGATCCCTAGTACAAAAAAAAAAACAAACAAAGGAACAAAGCCTGTAATTTTGCCTTTATAATGACAACTCTATAAAAGGAGTTACTGTTTTGAAAGAGGATTTTGAATTGTTTCATATTAGTTCTTTATAAGCTTTTTATAAAAGTGTATCTAAATATGTATAATTTTAAAATAGGGCCAAAGTTGGTAATTAAATCTTATATGTCATTTAATTTAATAGTAACTTGAGACATGCGTGTCTGACAGCATTATAGTTTTAAGACAATTTAAAAATTCTACTTAATCATTCTGATATTCATATAGAGAACTTTGCGTATTTTATTTTTATTTTGTGCACTTGTGTTTTTCTCTTTTAACTTTGCTAATTCTTTAATTTTATGTAACAATGTTTTAAAGAGTAGTGCTGACTTCATTCTTATTCTAGGTACTATGCAAACTCTAGCTGGTTAGAATAATTCATGGAATGGAATGGATTAGTTTAGCTGTTCACCACTAAGACTGAATTTGTTGTCAAATCTCGATTAAGAACAAGATCTCCCAGGGAAAGCAAATCACCAAAACAATCTGCTCATTGGTTATAATCATTAAAAATTAAAGTACAGTATATATTAGTCTACCACGTACTTCTCACTAGTTGCTTGATAAACATTCATATGGTATTCAACCTTTTGTACCTTGAAGCATACTGAGTGTAATCTTTGAAGTTTGGTTTGATTTTTGGGGGAAAAATTGGATGTATTTATTGTATATAGACCAATAAAATATCCATCCTTAAATTGTCTAACTATCTACAGACTGGAACTGCTTAAGTATGCATATTCAAGGCTGTTTTGCCAAGTTATCTTCATAAAGTTGTGTTTTCTCGATTTTGAAAGATACTGAGATGCTTTCATATTCTTACCTAGAAGACTTAAGATGCTGACAAGTGTGCAGGGCCAGAACATTTCCATTTCTAGGAATAATGCTGTGCTGTTGTTACAAGTAGTTACATTGGAACAGGTGATAAAGCTCGGTGGTTGTCTGGCATGTGAGAGACCCTGGGTTCAATCCTCAGCACTAAACAAATAAAACAAAAAGTACAAGTAGTTTCTTTGATAAAAATTAAAGCAGACATGAATTATAGGTCCTAAGAAGGGCAGTTGGAGCCTACATTAGAAAGTTGGTAAATACCATTATTAAGTTAAGTGCATGGCAGCTTTTTAAAATAATTTCATGACAAGTATGCCCACTATCACCACTCCTCTTCAGTATAGTTCTGGAAACATTAGCCACAGCAATTATACATGAAAAAGAAATTAAAGCAATAACTATAGGAAAGGGAGAAGTTAAACTGTCATTATTTGCTGACAGTATGATACTCTGCATTGAAGACCCAAAAAATTCCACCAAAAGACTTCTTCTAGACTTAATTGACTCTTTCAGCAGAGTAGCTGGATACAAAGTCAACACTCAAAAATCAATAGCCTTCTTGTACACAAATAACAGACTCACAGAGAGAGAAATTAGGGAAATAATTCCTTTCACAATAGCATCCAAAAAAAAAAAAAATAGTGAAGTATCTAGGAAACACTAATGAAAGAAGCAAAAGACATCTACAATGCAAACTATAGCACTCTGAAAAAAGAGATCAAAGATATAAAAAAATGGAAAGATATGCACTGCTCCCGGGTAGGAAGAATCAACATAGTAAAAATGGCCATACTACCAAAACTGCTATACAGATTCAGTGCAATCCCTATTGAAATTCCAACACTATATTTCACAGAACTAGAAAAAGTAATCCAGTAATTCATTTGGAACCATGAGACCTAGAATAGCAAAAGCCATCCTAGGCAACAGTGACATGGCAGCAGGTAGAACAATTTCCAATTTGAAACTATACTACAAAGCCACTGTGATAAAAACAGCATGGTACTGGCAAAGAAACAGACCTGAGGATCATTGGAATAGACTGGAAGATACAGAAACAACTCCAGATGTACTCAGCTACTTCATCTTTGACAAAGGAGCCAACCATCTTCACTGGAGGCAAGATTGCCTCTTTAATAAATGGTGTTGGAAAAACTGAATTTCATCGTGCCAAAGATTAAAACTAGACCCTTATCTTTCACCATGCACTAAACTAAAATCCAAGTGGATTAAAGATCTAAATATTAAAACAGAAACACTAAACTGGCTGGAAGATAAATTAGGCAGAACTCTTGAAGACATGGCATAGGAAAAGACTTTATGAACAAATCCTCAGTAGCATGGGAACTAGCAGTAAGAATCAACAACTGAGATTATTAAAAAGCTTCTACACTGCAAAAGAAAACATCAACAGAACTAAAAGACAACCTACAATATGGGAAAAAATTTTACCAGCTGCTCCTCAGACAAAGGACTATTATCTAGAATATATAAAGAACTAAAAAATAATCAGCCCCCCCAAATATAAAGATCCAGTTCAAAAATGGCCATCTGAAATGAACAGACATTTCTCAGACACAGAAGTAAAAACAGCAAGTAAATATATGAAAAAAAGTTCCACATCACTGGTCATTTGAAAGATACAGATGAAAACAACACTGAAATTCCACCTCACCCCACAAAGAATGACTGCTATCAAGATATCAACCAATAATGTGTTGGCAGGGATGTGGGGAGAAAGGAACCCTTCTCCAGTGTTGGTGGGAGTGCAGACTGGTGCAACCACTATGGAAATCAATATGGAGATACCTCAAAGAGCTTGGACTGGAGGTGCCATTGGACTCAACCATCCCTCTACTGGGTCTCTTTACAAAAGAATTAAAAGAATCATACCACAGTAATATATGCACACCCATGTTTATAGCAGCAGTTTTTAATAGCTAAGACTTTGAAACAGCCCATTTGCCCATCAGTCGGAGACTGGATAAAGAAGATGTGGTTTTTCTATAAAATGGAATACTACCCAGCCATAAAGAATGAGAAATTAGAGTCATTCATAGGAAAATGGATGCATATTGAGGCTATACTCTTAAGTGAAATAAATAAGTCACACATGTGTAAATACCAAATAGTTTCTCTGATGTGAAAAACTATAATTGTAAATAAGATCCTAATAGTATAATTGACAGTGTGTAATAGGAAGAAAAAGGCTAAAGGTGTAGAGGAAGTGGAAAGGGTAGGGGAAAGGAAATAAGGGAAAGAAAAAAATATGAGAAAATGGAAATAAAGTATTTGTAAATAGGGAAGGGAGGAGGGGTGAAGGATGAGCCAGGGGTATGGGGAAAAAATGAGAACCAAGACCTGTCATGTAAAGGTACAAGATCCCAATGATGAATATAACTGTACTCTATACCTAAAATGTACCAATCAACTCAATGGGAAAAAAAAATAAAGTCATGAGGGCCGGGGATTTGGCTCAAAGGTTCTGCTGCCTGCCTTGCAAAGGGCCCAAGGTCGATCCCCTAGTACCAAAAGAGAGAATGGGGGAAGAGGAAGGTCATGAAGGGAAATGTTATAATTCTACAGATATAATTCATGTATTTCTGGAGCTCCAGTGGCCCAGTTGGTTACACATAGCATTTATAACTTGTGTATTTCTATTTTCAGTGTTGTTAATATCCCCAATATTCTATAAACATTCATCAATGAACATTAATACTTTTGAGATATTAGCTGCCCCTGTTATACTTACTGTCATAGTGCCTATATGGGTGCTTATGTACAATATAAGTGCATCACACTATATTGAAGATTGGACCTAGGGCCTTTACACTGAGCTATATCCCAACCCTTTTTTTAAGTTTTAATTTTTGAGATAGAGTCTCTGAGTTGCCCAGGGTGGGTTCAAACTTATGTTCCTGCATCAGCCTCCAGAGTGCTGGGATTTACAGACATGAACAGTTATACCCAGCTAGCATCATACTTATAACACACATAAATTCAAATCCTAATGTAGTAAGTTTTAGTTGTATGATTTGAGGCAGATTATATGACCTCTTTGAGTTTGTTTCCACATCAATAAAATGGAGCCAATAATAGTATTTTCTTTCAGCACTTTGTGAGGATTAAATGAAATAATGCAAGCAAGCCAATAGTTTTCTACATTCTAAACTCTAATAAATGATTATTTTAACATTAATTTGCATATGTATACTTTGTTACTAAGTTCTAATTCAAAAAGAAAATTATGTTTTAAATTCTCTTTTTAAAATAAATAAATTCTCTTCTAGGAGTGTCTCAAAAATTAGTAATAGCAAATGTTAGTAAAAGTAGCTTTTCCCTGAGAATATTACTTTGTTGGCAATTCATTTTCCTATCTTTTTTAAAAATGTGGTTATTCCATGTACTTTCAGTTTTTCGTGATGATTTGGGAGGTAAATTTACATTGGCTTTGTGACTGAGCAAATGTAGTACTTGTCAGTAGAATCAAAAATAGAATTATAGTTTTTTTCTGGAAGTTACCAAAATTCATACTTTTGTACTGTTCTATTTTTTTCAAAAACTGGGGAAAAGACAGATAAAAACTGGTTTGTCTGCAGAATCTTAAAACTCAAAAAGATTATTTACTTTCATAGAATTGCTCATTTCTTGGAGCTCAAGATAATTATACAAATGATGTGTTTATTTTACCTTGACTTCCATATGTCAACAGCTCTAATTTCTTTTCAGTTCCATAAATAATCATATGAAAATGCAGTAGTACGACGTTCCACATGACCTGCAAAATAACTATCAAGACATACAATATAGGGGGCAGCGGGCAGGGTAAAAAAAAAAAGACATACAATATAACTTTGTATTGCTTTTAGTCCTTAGTAAGATGTAAAAGAAAGAAAGAAAGAAAATAGAACATGCCATATTAGTTATCACCTTAGTTCAAGCAGTTTTTGCCTCAGCTATATATTACTCACTGTTTTTTTCCCTTTCGTGCTTTAGGATCTTACTCAGTGTGTTACATGCCAAGAAAAACATATTACTGTAAAGAAGGAACCACATGAATCCCTTGGAATGACAGTCGCTGGAGGCAGAGGAAGTAAGAGTGGTGAATTGCCCATCTTTGTGACCAGTGTGCCACCTCACGGCTGCCTTGCACGAGATGGCAGAATTAAGAGAGGTAAAATAGGATCACAAGTATCTACCACCTCTTATTCTTGAGTTAAGCTCACATTTTAAAAAACAGAATATCTAAAAAGTTTCCTATTAAACCTGATTTTTCAAAATTCTGTAAAATGTCCCTTTTTTATAAAACATAACATCTTTCTGTAAGGTTAGGAAAATACCTGGTGTAAAAGAAAATTGCTGAACTTTGATGATGGTTCCATAATTTGCAAACAGTTATCTGACTGTTGGATTATTTTTATTTTGAAAAAGATCCTCTAAGAGGCTTAAGCTTCTACAATTATGGCAAACAACTCTACTCTGAGTAAATGTTGCTTATAAATGTCTATGCTGAAGGGGACTCAGAAAGTAAGTGGGACAGAAGAAAAACCTAATTTTAGGGCTAAACTCATTCACTACTTACATTCCCTTTCAGTGTTACATAATTTGCATAGCTGGAGTTGATCCGAAGTTTGTGGGTTATTGTTAATCTAATTTGCATATGTGGTAGGGTACAGTTAACCACTGTTCCCATAATAAAAAGTAGACTGTCTTTTGGCCTGGTTTGTGCATATGAGAAGAAAATTGTACCTTAAAAGTTACTTTTCCCTTAAGTTCAATCCCCGGTACCAAAAAAAAAAGTACAGAAGTTACTTTTCCAAGAATTAAGTTGGGCTCATACCTCACCACATATACAAATGTTAACCCATAATGAATTCAATACATAGATGTAAGAGTTGAAACTCTTGAAGAAAACACAGGTGTAAATCCTCATGACCTTCAATTAGGCAGTGGTTTCTTACATATAAAGAACTCTTACAATTCGATATGTAAAACTACAAATAACCTAATTTATTTATTTTTTTCAGCTTTAATTGAGTTTATTGGTACATTTTAGGGATACAGTACAGTTACATTCATTGTTGGGATCTTGTACCTTTACATGACAAGTCTTGATTCTCATTTTTTCCCCTTACCGCTGCCCTCCCTTCCCCCCAAATAACCTAATTTAAAGAAGACAAAAAATCTGAATAGATGCTTCTCAAAGAAGATAAACAAAAGACCAACAATCAGATGGAAAAGCTGCTCAACATCACTGGTTATTTGAGAAATGGGAATCAAAACTGCAGTGAGATATCACCTCAATACCCATTAGGGTAACTGTAATAAGAAAGACAGGCAATAACAGCATTGGCAAGGATAAGGAGAAATGTGAAATCCTCATACATTTCTGGTGGGAATATAAACTAGTACAGTTGTTAAGGGAAACAGTTGGTAATTCCTCCAAGAGCTAAGCCATATGACCCAGCACATCTACTCCTGAAGAAATGAGATTTATGCACATAAAAACTAGCATGCCTATGTTCATAGCAACATTATTCTCAGTAGCCAAAAGATGGAAACAACCCAAATGTTCGTTTACTGGTAAACTGATCAACAGAATGTGGTCTGTCCATACAATGAAATATTTGACCATAAAAAGGAATAAAGTATTGTCACATTATACAATATAGATGATTTTTGAAGATATTATACTAAGTGAAAGACTTCATTTTATGAAATGTCCATGAAATGTTTACCTCTTATAAGTAAACCTACAAGAAACCAAAAGTAGATTAGTAATGGTTGCTTAGAGGTGGGATAAGGGCAATGACTGCTAGTTTTTGAGGTGGGTGATAAAAATATTCTGTAAATTATTGTGTTGACATTTGTATAACTGAACATACTAAAAACCATAAAATTGTGTGTTTTAAATGAATCAGTTGATAGGTGAATTAAATCTCAATAAGGCTACTGTTTTTAAAAAAAGTTATTTAGTTGTAGAATCTGGGGTAACTTTATTATGTTTTCTACAATGAGAAGGTTTTGCTCTAATGATCTGAAAAATAGATGATAAATTAGGAAAATGAGAAATTCTGTAGGCTTTATCATACAAATACCTGCTTCCTCCAAACATAATTCTTTCTTTCCTAACCTTTTATCTGATCCTATTGCCCTTTTTCATTATATTACTTGGGAAAGCAACACATCTTTTCTCCCAGAAGCAAGGGAAAATGTTTCAATCCTGTTTCATTTCGTTGTATAGCCCAAGGATAAGGACATTATCTCTGTACATATTATAGTATGTTTCCCCTGAGTGAACTTTGCAAGGCTCTCTTTATGTATAAAACTGTGTAAATGTGAAATAGGACATATTAAAGAGCAAAGGGTCAAATGGTTTTTGAATTGGGAAGAACTGTTGAAATTTCTGAAGCTCAAAGCAGAGAAGTAAACATGCATGGGGTCTCTACACAGACAAACTTGAACTAATGCTTTGGTCTTCCAGTTAGATCAAGGTGCTCCAGGCCACATTTCTTGCTCTGTATTATGGCATTATTTAAAATTTTGAATTGTTTTAGGGTATCCTCCATTAATTGGACTTGTTTTTATAGTTAGAAAATAGATAGGGATTTTCTAAAAGGTCTTTTTCCTTATCTGAGTTATTGGAAGTAGTGTTTGTTGATTAGTTTGTAGACAGGAATTATAGGGATATAATCACTTGGAGGCAGAGATGAGTTTTCTGGTTTCTTCACTTGAACAGGTGATGTATTGCTAAACATCAATGGCATTGACTTGACAAACTTAAGTCACAGTGAGGCTGTTGCTATGCTGAAGGCCAGTGCTGCTTCCCCGGCTGTTGCCCTCAAAGCACTAGAGGTCCAGATCATCGAGGAGGCCACTCAGACCTCAGAGGAGCTGCCAAGTACTTTCAGTGAAAATGAGTATGATGCGAATTGGTCCCCGTCGTGGGTCATGTGGCTTGGGCTTCCAAGGTACTGATTGTTTTTGTTGTTTTATGGAATAATCATACTTGCACCCTTTATCAATGTGAGACAGTTACTTACCTATGGTGGAATAATCTTAGACTAGAATAGAATTCATGCTTCAGATATATAGGGACCTGAAGAGAAGGTTTTTGGTTTTGAGGTTTTATTTTGTTTTTTTACAACAAAAATGATTGGACTGTGTCAAACATGTTTATGCCATGCATCAAAACTGGTTTTTTTTTCTTCCCACTGAAACTTAAACATGGGTTAAATGGTTGCTGTTAAACTCCTACAGAACTACTACTAACATGGGAGATTCCATCCTTCAGAGAAGCCTCTGTATTTTGTTCATTTCTCAACCTGACACCTGGACCTGCCAGTGTAAGCTGGAAAGGCAGCACCAGTTGGAGAAGAAGCCACTGCCCATGCTGTGCAGATGCCCATGAGTTTAGCAGAGCCTCTGTCACTCAACTAACGGCAGGCAGAGTGGCCACATCATAGAGAAGTAGCCGTAGCGCTTCCTTTAATCCTCATTTGTCAATGCCAGTCTAACTTGGGCTTCATATCTTTGTTCACAATATTTCCTGCTGTGTCAGGTAGAGTAAGAAAGTGTTAGATGAGAATGAGGCAGTATTATGAAATCCATTTTTGAGACCACCTGTTCTGAAAGAAAATTGGTCAATAAGAGGCCATTGTTTGTCAAGTCTCAGCTGTGTGCACTTATATCCAAGAGCCACGCGTGAGTAGCAGCTCTGCTTTCCTGAAAGGGAGGCTCTTCTACTGCTCTTTGCTGAAGGCATGTTTGTTTTTATCATTTTTTCCCCCCTGGTGCTTGATATTGTTTGTTTTTGTTTTTTGGTACGAGGGATCGAACTTGTGTCCTTGCTCTTGTGAGGCAGGAGGCGGAACCATTGAGCTAAATCCCCATCCCTGGGGGCATGTTTGTTGCAGAAGATTCAGAATAACCAAAATAACTGTCTCCAAACCTTGGTCCGCCCCAAAAGCTTCCCTACAAGTCCTTTGTCATCCATGAACTCAGAAACTAAAGCACAAATACATATTGCTTTACAGAATCAGTATTAAGAATTTTTTAATAGATTAAAAATAGGAGGTCTTTTTCTAGAGACCTATTGGTCTAATTTCACTTAATAATGAAAAACTATTATAAAAAGATACTTTTTGGAAATCATTTTGTAGTTGTTTGCAGTGTGCGGGCCCAGGGTCTGTAGAACACCAGGTGCTCTTCCGCTGAGCCACACCACCACCTTCTACCTGCTTTTGAAACTACACTGTTGATCATTGTCTTCTTTCATTTGAGTGTTAAGAGCAGCAGTACTAGCCCTCTTTCATATTACTTTGTAATTTCTCTTCTATATACAAATGATTATTAGAACTGAGGATGTTGACAATGCAGCAAGCAAATTATTAGCACATAATATTTTTATACAGATTTCTGAGATTTTACCTGAAACTAGCTTTATTTAAGCTTTCTGCTTATGTGTGTTTATATCTATGTCTTCACCTGGGAAGAGAAGACTAGAAAAAGTTAGAGAAATATGCAAGTCTGCCTAGCACTACACCTGTGCTACAAAATCAACTGAGTAACAGGCTAGGAGGTGTGGCTCAGCAGTAAAGCACTTGCCTAGCATATACAAGGCTGTGAGTTCCATCCTCAGCACCAATAACAACAGAAATAATAAAGTCAAAAGGAAATAAATTAGTAGCCCTCTTTCTTTGTTTCCAAGAGTGGTACTTATACTGTGTTCTGGGTTTCTAGCATAGATGCGCAGCTTGTGAATGCCTCTATGTTTTTTCTTTCTTTTTGTGTTTGGTCACAGTGCCCTTCATAGCTGCCATGATATAGTTTTACGAAGAAGCTACTTGGGAAGTTGGGGCTTCAGTATTGTTGGTGGATATGAAGAGAACCACACCAATCAACCTTTCTTCATTAAAACTATTGTCTTAGGAACTCCTGCTTATTACGATGGGAGGTTAAAGTGAGTCTTGTTGTGATATTACTTATACATGAGCTAGCTCAGGGGTCAGCACTCTGTCTAGCCTGTGGTCTACTTTTGTAAATAAAGTTGTATTGCAGTATAGTCACGCTCATTCTTAACCTGTGGCTGCTTCTGCACAGGTTTGAGTTGTCCTGGCAGAGACCATATGGTTCAGAAAGCCTAAAATATTTATTGTAGGGCTTTTTACAGAAAAAAACCCGATCTAGAGTAAAGCATAAGTTTTAGCATCTTGTTACTTAGAACTATATTTTATTCATCTGATGACCAGAACTGAACCTGAGTCATTTTATTGGATACACTGTGACATGATAATGAGCTCAAAGCAGTTTTTCCATATGACCTACTCAGGTTCAGTCTTGCCACAAGATAACTCTACTTTATTGTTCACCATAGCACTAATCTTTACCAGATACTGTATTTTTACAGGATCCATAAAGGAGGGATTTTGTTGCATTTGTTGTTGTATCTCTAGCAGTCATAACAAGGATATAGTAAAATCTCAATAAATAATTGATGAATGAATGTACAATAGGTTCTAGTATGCCAGGAACAATGCTAAGGGATTCATGCGTTATTTAATCTTAACAACCTTACAAGGTAAATGTGTTACTATTCCTCTTTTGCACACAAGATAACTAAGGCTTAGGAAGGCTAAGAACTTGCCCAAGTTCGAATAGCTGAAAGTGTTGATTGGCATTCACACACAGGACTGTCTGGCTCAGAGCCCTGCCCACTAAGCCTTCTGCTAACTGCCACCAGTACACAGAAAGTATTCAGCCAGCATGCAGCCTCTTCTATTTCAAAGCTCAGGCACCAGAAGAAAGAAAAGATGTGTCAAGGGATTGTCACCAACAGAGAAGAGGTGATTGATTGTAATCCTTAGTGCCTAAACAGAAGAACTACTTCTTTTAAAAGTAGATGTCAACATGCTGGAAAGAATGCTGCACACATGCAGAGATTGTACTGTCTGCAAAGAAGAATGACACCTAAACAACACTTTAAAAATGTTTATGAGAAGAATGCTCCAGATCAGTCTTTATTGATAAATGAAAAAAATCATTATTTTAGAATGAATAAATATTCTCTTAGCTAAGTTATCAGCTGAGCTCAGTTCATTCATAATAGTCAAAATAATAACCATCAGGCTGAAGGATATAACGCACTGGTAGAGTATTTGGCTAGCATGTATACAGCCCCAGGTTCCCTCTTGAGTACTGAAAATAATAGCAATAATAATAACAGTAACAGCCAACACTTGGCACATGCATTATCTCACAACTGATTTATTTTTGTAGTGCTGTCAGTTGAACCTAGCTAGGGTCTTGAACCATGCTAGGCAGGGGATCTACCACCCACCTACACCAATGATATTTGGTACTTTTTACAGAAAGAGCAGATTGACTCACCTAATTATATCTTACCTTGTACAAAAATTATTCTGCTTGTTTGCTTACCTGTTTTGGAAGAAGTGTTGCAGGAGTATTCTTGATTGGCAAGTGAAAGCCAGTGTGGGTTTAATAATTGTCTCTCAAAGTAGTTAATACATCCTTGATAGTAAATCAGTAAGTAAAATTGTGATTTTCATGCTAAACAATTAATATAATGTTTTTAACACTGTTGAAATAGTAACATTCTGCTTCTGTTTCTGTTTGTCCTTGTCCAGATGTGGAGACATGATTGTCGCTGTAAATGGCTTGTCTACTGTGGGTATGAGCCATTCTGCCCTGGTTCCCATGTTGAAAGAACAGAGGAACAAAGTCACCTTGACCGTTATTTGTTGGCCTGGCAGCCTTGTGTAGATTTTTGAAATTGGTTTCCAGTCTTCCTTCTTCTTTTTTAAATTTTTTAAAGAAAATCCTTTGGTTGCATTGTGCTAGGAGATATTGGCACAGCTGGTAGACCCAGGGCCCAAAACAACTAAGGTCATCTTTTTTAAAATTATTATTATTTAAATGGTTTTCTAAAGTTAGCTACAATTCTTTTAGCTTGGAGACAGTCTTCCACTAACCCTGGTGAGTTTATATTTTCAGAATTCAAACTCTCAGGTCTTTAGTAATGAATACAGCCCACCCAAACGGTGACCCAGCCAGCTAAATTAAAGTGGTGGTTCTTTGTTTTCAGTAACTGAATGATAAAATGAGTTATATGTTTCCCCAAGACTGATGTTAGTGCAGCCGCAAACAATAACATTTAGTGCTGTCACAAGCAATGATATGAATAGATACATTTTACATTTGAGTGATAACCATTGCTTGTTTTTCATTGGTGCCAACATTTCAGCACTTCATACTGTTTAGAAAGTGATTTTTCTGGTTTATCTACTAGATGATGAAGACATAAGTCTGACAGTGCTAAAAATTTTTTTAAAAAATTAATGTACCTTTATTAGAAGTGTAGAGAATAAAAGCTAATGTAAGCTATTATGTAGAGACAAAGGAGTCAGGAGGTTATTATACCCTAGTACAGGTATGGGTAAAGCCGCATTTACTGTAACAGTCCAAAGGCACTCAAGATTCATTTCCAAAGGAATGTTTTGCTACACAGAAAATTTTTGAAGCCGTTTTTGCTAAAAATCATTTCTAGAGTTTGTATTATATTTATCAGCAATCTTGTCTGTAAATGTTTTTGTGATTTATCCAATTAAGCTAGATGATAAAGCTAAAACCACGTTGCTATTAAATACACACAAACATACACACACATCATAGCTAAGTAGAAAAGAGACCTTTTTATTTTATTCAAATAGCCTTTTTTTTAGTGTTTTAGAAGCCCTTAGTTTTCCCATTTTTCTTATCAAACTGAAGCAAAAGGCTGAAAAGCTGTTTTTAGTTTTGTTTTGTTTAAGTCTGAAATAGTTAAGGTTTTAGATGTTAATATCTTTCAGTCTGCTCTTGCTCACTAGACTATTTTATATTTTTAAAATATTTTTGAAAACTGTCTCACCCCCTATTCAACACAGTTGTGCTTTGAACACGTAAGGAAGTAAGAAAAATATATTTACTAATATTATGCATACTTGAAGAAAGTTTCATAGAAACTTAGTACAGAATCTGAGCTAATTTACAAGTGACCTCTGTAACAAATGGTATTGATACTCATAGAATGTATTTCAACTACTACAGTATATTATGAAGCATGACCACTTCATTTTCAAGCGCATTGCTGGGGTTTATTATATCTGTAGCATGTTATTGATTATTCCAGTTAGTTTTATAATGCTTTGTAAAAATAGTTCTCTTTGGAATAAATAAGAATTAGCAACAGTAATCACTACTGACTTGTTCAACCCTGTAGCAACACTGTATGGTCAGTACTTAACCAGGATACAGTGCAGTATATTACTGTTACATGAGGATTGGCTTTTAAAGCAATTTGATATTGAAGTGCTTTGATATTCTAAATGACATGGAACAAGGGTTTTTTCTGCTCTCCAAATAGAATTTTGTAACCAACATTGCTATTTTTTTAAAGTTTATAAGAATGTATCATTTCTTGGAGCATGACCATCCATCAACAAATAGCATAACTGCTACTTGGTCATATATAAAATACATTGAACCTGATGGTCTAATGAGTATTTTGAAAGAATTTTTTTCAGTATTTTTATCATGAAAATCTGGGAATCAGCCAACACAGAGTTGAAGAGAAACTGTAGCTTTTGGTCAGAATGATATTTGGTGACGGAGACTTGTTCATAACTTATTGTTACTGTTGATATGTTTGAATTTTCTCACGTAAGTTCTTACAGTTATATATTTTGATTTGTGCCTTCTGTTTAAATTATTCAGGATTTTTTCAGATATGTTTAAATAATGGTGTGATAATCATTCAGGGTGGAAATAAAAGTCACCTTTCCATAAGAGCAACATGTCTTTTTGTTTTTTTGTTTCTTTGTTCTTTTCTTTTGTTTTTTCCAGTACTAGGAGTCAGACTCAGGACCATTTGCCAGGCAGTTACAGTACCACTGAGCTACATCCCCGGCCAGCATGCCTTTTCTTGAACAGCACACTGCATCTGTGATCTTTATTTTTGCCCATCGTACAGTACTGCTATCTTGCAGTATACCAAAATTGAAGCCTCGGGATCACAAATCCACCTTCTTACTCTTGTTTCCATAGGCACAACACATAGGATAGAGTCTGTACTGACTCCTGTACTGTTACCTCTAGATCTGTCCAGTGAGCCCCTGCAATGTGGCCAGTACTGTGTGTGGAAAACATATATATATTGGATATATTGGGTCATATGAAAGATAATGTTGAAAGAACTTCACCAGTTTCTTTTTACTTTTTCTTAATGTGACTGATAAGAAATTTTAAATTGCCAAGTGGCTCACCTTATATTCCAGTTTAATGTCACTGTTCCCGTAACCTCTTCACTCTCATAGCATTTGCCAGGCAGTCCCAACATTATTCCTGTGGCCTTGATCATTGCCTGTGCTTTAAAAAAGAAAAAAAAAATTACCTGTGCTTAAAAACAGTTAATGAAAAGAAAGAGGCTCTGGGGTGTGTCTTAGTGGTAGAGTGCATGTTTAGCAGGCAAGAGACCCTCCTGGATCCTCATACACACATACACACAGTGGCCTTCCACTTACCTATTAATCTAAGCTCATGCTCCAGCCTCAGTGGTCCAACCTAGGTATGCAGGTGGCTTCTCAATCCCTTTTAGTCTGTTGCTCCAGCAGGACACTTAGACCCCTCCCCTCCAGTTCCTTCCTCCAACATATGCATAGTCTTTCCTCAAACAGTAGTGACTTCCCTCTGCGCAAGTTTGTGTTGCTCCCATGTTTGGAGGTATAACTTTACTAGTCTCTCCTCTCCTCCCTGATGAGTCTCAATGGGCCTTTATATTTATGTTAATTCTGGCCCATCACTTGCTACCTAATTATTGTCATAGTTTTAAGTACCATCTTTGACTGCCACCTTGCACTTTTGATTACCACTGATTCCTCATGGAAAGAATATCTCGTTACTTTAAGGCACCAATCTCAGCATCTCCAAAACTGAATTGTGTTTTCCCAAGCATTTGCCTATCTATTAGCTTTCAATCCAAACTCAAGCCATTAGTCACTTTTCTAAGCTCCACCTCTAATCATATCTTTATCCATTTAAAAATTTTAAGATGTTCCGTGTTGTCTACAGGATAAGGTGAAGTGGCATGGTACAGCACACAGAGCTCTCTGATCTGGCCCTGCAGCCTTATTCCCCAGCCTTGCTTAGTATATAAATCACCCCATCCCACCCACCTCATCCCACTTCCTCTCCACACACCCTACCCATTTACAGCACACTGAATTGACTCAAATAACCTCACTTTTGGGGGAAACTTACCACTCTCCCTGAGCAAGTTTTTTTTTTTTTAAGCCTTTTCAAGTTTTATTGTATGGCCACAGCTATATGCTAAGAAGACAAGAAAAAACTTGCCATATAGTTGGTCAGTTACCTCATCTGTAGTCATTTTTTAAACTAGACAATGGGCTGTGTGTATAGCTCTGTAGTAGAACACATTTCAGCATACCTGAAGGCCTTGGCTTCTAACTTCAGTGCAACACACATTTATAAACTTGATCATAAATGTCAGATTTGTTTCCTCCTGAAGAGATCAAGGTATTCCAGAGAGAAAACCTAGGCCTGATGTCCTGTTTCTGTTCAGGGCTGCACATTACATTTCATCATCGTGTTTCCTTAGGCTCCTCTTCAGGCATTTTCACAGATTTCCCTCACGGAAAGCACCTTGACGGTACAGTGCTGATGAGTGCTGATATGTAAAAGTATATTGTGGGTTGCCTTCTCTTAGGATTTGCGGATTTTTCTTGAGTGTGGGCGTATGGGAGGAAGATCACTAAGTTAAAGTGGCATTATCCTCATCAAGGACATACTGTCAATGTGACACCTGACTCAGACTGAAGGGGATGAAATCACATCTCATGGTTTCATTTTGCATCTCCCTGGTTACTGGTAAAGTCACTTTTTTTTTTTTTTTGTATGTTTACTAGCCAATCAGCTACTTCTTTCGTGAGCAGGCTGCTGGACAATTTTTCTCATGGACTGATTGTATTTCTTTTATTGGTTTATAGAAATTTTGTATCCCAGTGTTGTACCTAGTGGATTATATGTGGTACAAATATCTTCTCCAAATTTATGACTTCTCTTTTCAACTTTCTAATGGTAAAAAGTTCCTCGTTATACTGTTGACAAATGTATAAAAGGCATATAAAAAGAAGCTTTTTATTGACTGTTAGAATGTCTTCATTTGCCAGAGGTTGACCATTTACTCTATTTTGACTGTTGCATTGTTTCCTCCATCTTAGGTTGTGCTTCCAATTTTCTCTGCCTCTCTGACTTTGTGGATTTATTTCTGTTCACTTATGAGTAACCCTTTACTGGTAAAGTCCCTTTTTTTTTTTTTTTGTATGTTTACTAGCCAATCAGCTACTTCTTTCGTGAGCAGGCTGCTGGACAATTTTTCTCATGGACTGATTGTATTTCTTTTATTGGTTTATAGAAATTTTGTATCCCAGTGTTGTACCTAGTGGATTATATGTGGTACAAATATCTTCTCCAAATTTATGACTTCTCTTTTCAACTTTCTAATGGTAAAAAGTTCCTCGTTATACTGTTGACAAATGTATAAAAGGCATATAAAAAGAAGCTTTTTATTGACTGTTAGAATGTCTTCATTTGCCAGAGGTTGACCATTTACTCTATTTTGACTGTTGCATTGTTTCCTCCATCTTAGGTTGTGCTTCCAATTTTCTCTGCCTCTCTGACTTTGTGGATTTATTTCTGTTCACTTATGAGTAACCCTTGAATTTTGCTCATGCCTATTCAACATAAAGTCTCAACTTGATGAGTCACTCTGCCCTCCTCCTGTGGACACTTCAAACACTGCAGCCTGGTGTGGTAGCTATTGCTCCTCCTTGTTCTCTTCTGCAATTAACCGCTACTATTAGAATTGTGTTATACAGTCAAGGATTGATTAGTCATTCCTGAAATATGTGAATGACTGAAAAACTAACTGAAGCATAGTTCGTATAATTGAGCATAACAGTAATATCCCACCAAGAACCTTTGGGAAAGAAAGTCCAGAGTGGAACCAGTGGCAACCTTGACCCAGATAATCTGGACACTGATCATGCAGCTCAGAAAGCTTGAGGTGAAGCAACATCATTGCCATCTTGCCAAGTTCTAACCTTTGGGGATCACTGATAGGTTGTTTTTGTTTTGTTCTGTTTTGTTTTGTTTGTCACTTTCCAGTAGAGAGAAATTGGCAGTTCAACAGAGATCATTGTCATCAAATTTTCTAGAGCAACTGCAACTTACATTGTATATCAACTTGTTTTCATATGAAAAATTGGAAGGCAGATGCGGTAGGTACTGTAACAAAATACCTGAGAGAGTCAACTTACAATAAGGAAGGGTTTGTTTTGGTTCCTGGTCTCAGTCCACAATCAGTCTCATTGCTTTTGGGCCTATGGCAGGGCAGCATATGGGTAGCAAGCATTTTGTAGAGCAGACTACTCACCCATGGTGGTCAGAGAGCAAAAGACAAAACAAAACAAACAAATAAACTCGCCTTCAAGAGTGCATTCCAATAACCTAGAACCTCCTGCTAGGCTTCCCTTCCCAAAATGCCACATGCTGGGGATAAAACCTTAATACTTGGGCCTTTGGGAGACACTTATCCAAACCACAGAAGATTTCTATAGTTTAGTTTTCTCGAGATACTGTGCAGTGTTGCT